ACACTTCCTTCTCTCACTTCCTTTCATCCTCAGACTTCAACATCCCATCACAAATCTGTTTTGCCATCGAGGACTTTCTAGTCTCTCCTGTCCCTTTCCTCAGGGCCTGTGTCCAAGCACCAGCCAACACTCTTTTAAGGTGTTTCCGCACCTAGCTAGCTTCTGCTTTTTCTCCTCTGGAAGATAGATCACCAAGAAGTAGATTCATATAGACTAAGACATTCATAATATGGCCATTTCTTATGGTATAGTGTCCCCAGTTGTCACAGATACAAATGTCTCTTCCCAATAAGATGTAAAACCAGAAAGAATAAATAGGGTACCCGTACCCAATATAATTAACTACAGTCACCCTTTAAAAAAGGGGATCCATGGAATACAAAATCCTGGCATCTGAATGTGAAGCCCTTTAGCAAAACTTGTCAGTGCTTCAGGAAATAAATATGAGAACTGTACCACAAAACACTAGATGCATTATTAGTAGTATCTTTAATAACAGTACAAATATTAAAGTGCCATATTGTTTACAACACAAAATTAAAATTTTAATTTTAATCAGTCCTGTTTACCCAGCAACATTCTGATTAGCAGAGTTGATTGAACAGTGGAAAAAAAACCAACCCCGCTCACAACAAGATATGCCACATAAAAGGCCTCAGCCCAAGTCAACAAGCAGCAACAGCAGAGCTATACAGCCAACTAAAGAATGTACCCAAGTCTCTGGCAAACCAAGACACAACTTATGCCACTGAAGTGGTGATTTGAATATATTTTGTTTCCTCTCCTTTGGTGCAGGGAGCCCTTCTGAATATTTGCATGGCAGAATTGAAATACACATTAACTTGAAACAATGAAAGAATAGGGAGGTAGAGAATGCGGAGTAAGAAATCCCAGGAAACCATAGGCAATTGCTTCTTTATTATGCATATTTTGCTGCTGGAGCACATTATTCTCATTCTCCTTAGGGCACCGTTTGTTAAGAGCACAGTAAATAATGTCAACAACTAAAAATCCAGCACATTGAGCTTGATTTCCTGCCCCCCCCTCATATTTGGATGAGAGGGAGTGTCCTGACAGAGGCCAGATTTTCCAGCACAAACCTTAAAGCACACAAGAGAGTAGCAGCAGCTTCCCATTCTAACACCTACTCCTTAATTCCTCCTAAGAAAAAAAAAAAAAAAAAAAAAATCATGTAGAGACACAAGACAAGTCACTGTAGTTCATTTATCCTGTCACATATATCTCTGTTTTAAGCGTCGCCCTTCTGCTGCACAGTTCACAGAAAGATGGTGCCCTTCTTGTTCGATATTTGGAGGGCCAGGCAGCAGCTCTCCCATCACAATTATCTGGTGGTGCCTGGCAGGCACGGAGCTGCAAAGGCACCTTCCTCCTGGGACACCTCCTCAGCAGGGAAGGGGTTCAAAGCCCAGCCGCATCAGTGTGCTTGAAGCATTCGGACGACATAAATCCACTGCTCCTGAAGATGAGCAGTGTTAGGAAGCAAGCTGCTGTGATTCACCTCCTACTCCAGCAAAATCAGATGCTGCACTCTTCCACAGCTTGATTAACCACATGCTTCATTAAAGCTTTTGCTACTGTTTAACTGAGCTGTAAATGCTGGGAAGATTTTTTTTTTTTCAATGAGGCAGAGACGATTCACAAATCCCTTTTTTTTCCCCTCCTTTTTTCCCCTCATATTCTTTAAGCCAGAAAAAGTAAACAGGTGAGTAAGCGTAAAAGCAAGGGAACATAGATTTAAAGGCTTCATATAAGGTTTCTTAGGCAGTCATCTCTGTTTAATGCTCTTCAACCATGTGCCTTTCAGTAGTTCCCAAGGCTGAGAACATGAGGCAGATGCAGACTATGCACTTGAAACAGGTTTTACCCCTCTGTTCTCAAATCAGAGAGTTTTATATTAGATAAACCTAGATTTTAAAGGGAAGGGAGAGAGAAATCTGCTAAAAGAGTCTTTAGTGGTGCAAGCCCTTTGAGCCATCACTATTGAAGAGAAAAAGAGTTGGTACCTCACACTTTCAGCCCTGTATTACATAAATCCTTTCCTTACCTACAACTGAGAAGAAACAGCTCAAATAAATGGCCCTTCAGCTGTGGTCACTTCTGTACTTCATCCTTAAGTGTTCCCAGTGCAGCAGAAACCCAAGCCAACCCTGTCGGATTACTACAGAGTAGCACTCGCTGCTCCTTCACGAGTCTCACACTGCTCGACAGCAGCTGCCAGGCTCCCCGCAGCCCACCTGCTCCCCACAGCCCCAGCCGCACCTCGTAAACTCACCCCCGGGGGAGACCTAGCCCCATCTAATTGCTGCTGCAGGGCAACCAGGTGAGGCCCCTGCGCTTTGCCCCACCTCACTTGCATAAACACTCCCATCGCCCAGCTTCAGAAAGAAAAGCCGAGAGTGGCAAGTCACAGGTTTTTTGTTCATTTTGCTTGTTCTTAACGGCTTAAAATCCCTGCAAGATTCATTTTGGTAGCTGATCAACTACTGCAGCTTCTGCGGTTATGTACACAGAGCTTTCTGGCTGAGTGATGCCCCAGAAGAGCTTTTATTGCCAGCGTTATCATAGGCTATTTTGGAAATTGGAACAATTGTACTGGTCACAGCATACTTTTTGTTATCTTTGTGAAAATATTCCTAATATACAAAGCAATAAAATGCTCAGTCAGTGATCAAAGCTTCAAAGATGGAGATTATGCTCTCATTCAGGATGCCAGCCTGTGAAGCCACCCTTTCTTAAATGAAATTTATGTAAATAAGATTGTCAGCTCCTTGGGTTCTCTGACAGAGGGAATGGAATAATATTCAGAATGAAAATCTAGAGGATGGCAAGATTTAGATTTAACCTTTAAGATAGAGTTATATTGAACTGGATAGGATCTCAGCATTTTATTTGCATGTGATTTCCTCCTCCAATTAATGCTCCTGAAGTAACTACCACAGTGCTCCCCAGTCTCCTTTCAGTCCCTGTACCGGGTTTTTCAAGTAATCCCTAATGAAGCCTCAGCCTGCAGTCCCCTCCCCGGCTTCGCCTGGCAGGCTGGAGGGGTGGTTTACCACAGGAGTGGTGCTGGTGGCCACAATGGGATCTGTGAAGTTTCACATTGGTGAGCCATCGCTCAGTCAGTGGTCAGTGGTTTAAAGTCCAGCTGTATTAATGGCTGGAGGAATGGACTGATGGAAAAACAGTGAAGTCCTGCACAAGGAACAGGACAACTCCATGCTGGCTGGGTGCCCACTGGATAGAAGGCCCCTTGGAAGAAAAGGACCCGGGAATCCAGGGGGACAAGAGATGAAGTGCCCTTGCACAGAAGGCTATCTACATACCAGGCTCTATGAGAAAGCGTGCAGTCAGAAGTGATGATTTGTGCTCCTCTATTCAGCTTATGTCAGACGACATCTGGAGTAGTGTCACCTTTGGGCTCCCCGGCATGATACAGACAGCGAGGGGACACGAAGATGGTGAGAGGATGGAGGACAGGATGCATGAGAAAGGATGAACGCAGCATTTGTTCAGCCTGGAGAAGAGAAGGTTAAAGGTGGAGTGAACCTAACTGCTGACTTCAGCTACCTAATGGGTCGTTAGAGAGCAGACAGACAGGCTCTTTTCAGAGATATACAACAAAAGGATGAGAAGCAACAGACATAAGATGTAGCAATGGAAATTCTGACTGAAGAAAAAAGACATTCAAGTATCAGAATGGATGACCAGAAAGGCTGCACAATCTCTGTTCTTGGAGATACTCACCTGGACAAGGCCTGAGCAACTGGATCAAACTTGGAAGTCAACAGTGCTTTCGGCAAGGGGCAAGACTACATGCCCTCCAGAGGTCCTTCCAGCCCAAATGGTTCTATTCATTTTGAACTTGAGCTTCAGGAACAGAAACACAGTTTATTATATTTACCTGTTTTCTTTGTTTCCTCTAGTAATTATTCTTTATTTGGAACTCAGAGCATTATCTCCTGAACTATTAAAACAAAAAAAAAGAAGCATACAGATTTTTAGGCACGCACACAATTCTTCTTTAAGAATTGCTCTAAAACATTAACCTCAAACTAAGCACGTGCGGTCTCAAGAGTTGTGCGGGTGCTTTTTCCCTTGCCATGAAGTTGCCCTGGAAATCAGAAAGCCCACTTACTAGCCTGAGTCAACTGACAATTACTCTGAATTACTCTGAATATACATTGTATATGCAGCTCTATCATTCAAAACCTGA